AAGAGTGGGTGAAAGAGAGAGAGAGAGAGAGAGATCTACAACCTAAGGAGGAAGGCTGTTGTGGAAGCAAATCCCACGCTCTATCCCCCACGAGCTGAATCACAATCCTGCATTAGCTGTGATATCACACCTCGTCCTGCTGCTGCTCCTTTTCCCACCATCCGTTAGCCGAGCAGGAGCGAGAGGCCATACAGTAAGGCCCTATCACTCACCTGCACTCTCTCACAGTGGCATTACCATGCCTTTATCTCATCTTCTGCAGCCCGGCACGGCCGGCCGCCTCCTGGTCCTCCAGGCTACTTTACTAATAACCTATTCCTTATCAGTCACCGTGCACCTCTGCCTGTGATCAAAGAGCCAATTAATGAAGCGGGGAAAGGTGAAGCATTCAAATAATGGAGACAGCTGTTTTTCTCTGTTTGAGAAAATCCATTTTGTATTGTTATCGGCTCCCAGCAGCTCCCGCCAGAACAGCGCTTAATTCAAGGCGCTGTCTGCTTCTGCCTGGTTTGATAAGAGAGAGTGAGAGAGGACAAGCAAAGAGAAAGGAGGGAAAAAAGAAAGGAGCACCAGGTCACAATGAACTTTACGTATAAGAATGTGGCAGGAATATTGCGGCAGCCCAACTCATCCCTGAGCTTTATCAAGTCCAAAGTGGTTCAACACAGATAACGATTGGGGAGGATGGGGTCATAAAAAAGGCAGAGCCTCTGGAGCCGACAAGCTGCTTTATGGCTTCACTGTCATCGGTTTTAAAAAGGAGCAGCTGATCCCGGCTCTTTGAGGTCCAACACAATCTGGTAAGACAGAAACCTGAGGTTAGTTAAGAGGTTAATTGTAGAAATGTCATGGCAGCCATATACATATGTCAAATATGGGATACCAGAGGTCATTAATAATAACATATTAATATCAACTCATCTCTGAAGTGAGAAAACATATATCAGAACTAACAGCAGGGTAGTAGTATAATTTCACCCCATGATTTTCTAAGTGCGAAGCAGCATATCTGAATATCTGTACATGGGTGCTTGGAGCTTCTGCAGAGCAAGAACACCAGTGTCAATCCCCCAGGCAGGTATTAACATATTTATTACACAGTAAAGAGAACAACAATACCAGAATTATACTGCAAAGTTTCACAGACTGACAGACCATAGTTTACAGCCCAAAAAAAGATTAAAAAAAGAAACCAAAAAATGAAATTAAATCAACAAGAAACCACAGTTCTGACATAGTAGACTGGAAAGCTCTCTAGAGGACACTGACCCTGGGCGATGAACAGACCGCTCAGCGTCAGCCTACCACTAACCTGTGGTTTTCATGTCTCAAATAAGTATTGCACAACAACTTCAAATCATTTCAACTCTTTTTTTTCACAATAAATTTTTCTCAAGAGAACGCAAAAAACCCCACTCCCGCCCCTTAACGACAACTCACCACCCAGAATGATGCTACTGATTTTGCTGTTCACTGTTGGACCCACATATCACCTCGATGTTTTGTGTCGAGTTAGAAATTTAAACAACATTTCCTCCTATTGTGAAAAACAGGCATGCCCTAAATTCATAGCCTCAGTATTTTTGTGTTTTTTTTGTCTTTTTTTTAAACTATTTTTTTTTTTACCTTTTTTTTAAACATTTGTATGTCCCCATAGTAGGGGTTTACCTCAGCTGACAATGTGACAAGCACTTTAGCGTGTCTTTACAACCAATAAGACAAAGGGAGAAAAAGTGGAGGGGACACAGGAGAGAAAAGAGCAAGTGAGAAACATTTTCAAAAGTTAGTTTGTGTCATCGAAACAACAACACCTCTCTTTAAAAGTAACACTTTGTTTAAAATCTGTTCGAAGTTTTGACATAATCTCCGAATGCCACAGGCATAAAGGAACGAAACAAAAGTTAATTTTCCCCACATTTTTCGTCCTTTCTATTCATTCATGTTTTATTTATTCATGAGGTCTGCATTGTTACCAAGTAGTGATATGGTTTTGCAGCTGTATGAGCTTTGACTTTGGGTTTTATTTTCCTGTTCTCTTGAGCCCATTTGGTTTCGACTAGACCAGTATCAGCAACTGATGCTCTTATCGTGCTGTAGAGGTAGAGTGAGACTTGTCCGCCACTGAGGAGTTAGTAGCAAACCACACATAGAAGAAAGAAGAGAGAGAGAAAAAATAGAGCTTTTTCAAGGAATCATTGAGCAGTGGCGTGTTACTTTCCTCTGTTCGTAGCCAGGTTCTGTCCTGTTAATGATGAACACACACGTTTCGTGTTGTATACTTTAAAAAAACACAAGTGTTAAAACAGCTTGGCTGTTTCATCACTGCTTCTGAAGAGGCGCAATCTGGGGTGTCAGACACCTTGTTTGGGGCGTTAAAACCCTCAAAGGAGGCAAATGTGTAATTTTGCTTTAGGATAAAATAAAGAGTGGGGAGAGCAGGAAGTAAAAGGGAGGGGGACAAAATGGCCCAGAACCTTTATGGGCTTTCACTTGTTCCTTGAGGTCAGAATTGGTAACGCGCGTCTGTGTAGCACCAAGGGGTTTGGGGTGAAGAGAATTTGTGTGCGTTGAAGTTCATGTTCTCCGACTGTGACTAAGAGGTTTGAACGAATAAAAAAAAAGACAAGGAGGATTATCTGAAAAGAAAATAAGGTATTTTTCATTTAAATCAATAAATAGAACTGATGACAACGGCGTAATCAACACTGTATCAATGAAACCGAACCTCTTAAAGCTAAAGTGAGCACCACATCTGCTTGTGCCATGAGAAGCTGCAAACAATGTTGTCGATCTCAAGTGATAACAGACGTTCTTAGTTTTCACGTCACATTAGTTATTATTGCTCCAGATAATATGAAACACTGCTGCAAAATGTTCATTAAGTTTAATTCACACCTTCTCATTTCACAGTGTAAGATAGGTGCTCTTCTCTCTACTGAAAAAAATGAATATAAATGACTTCGACACGAAAGTAAGGCGGATTTGTTCCGTGTGAGTGAAACAACAGCTAAAATAAATAACCAGGTGTCGGCGCGAACAAACCTCTGCTGAAACGTGTTAAAATCAGGATTTTGGTCCTTGGTGTCAGTCTTTGGCTGTTTTTTTTAACTCTATTGTGTTAATACTGTGTGTTACCTGGTGCTTTGCGGTTTTAAAGCTGTCAATCGGAGTCTACACCTCTGCATTTGGAAAAGTTAGTTTGTTAGGTTTTTTTTTTTTCCTGTATTTTGTTTTTACTTTTTTGGTTGCTTTTTTTTTTTTTTTTTAAAAAATAACAGATATTTAACAAACGTCCAGTAATGTGCATGCACTGTCTGTAACTGTGACTCTTAAAAATCATTATGGCAAGTTAGGAATAAAAAAAAAGAGAGAAGTGGGTTTGGTGATTTTACATTTTTCCATCTTGCCCTACAGCCCACCCCATCCCCCGAACAAATGAAAAAAAAAAAGATTAAAAAAAACAAGGCGTATAGTATCATTACATAAAAAAATGGCTAAAGAATTATGGCTCTATACCAACAACACAATATGCTGAAAAGAGGCATGCCAAAATAAGCTATGTGACAGTGCAAATACATTAATGTATGTCCCGTAAATGTACAAAACATTTACGTTTGCATTCCGCGTAACATGCTCGTTCTCAGAAAAGATCAAAGTCAGACTCAAGTAGCAGCTCTGAGATGTAGTCTCTGTCTTTTCTCGAGGACAAAGAGAAGTGAAACTTAGAGTGACTACGAGGGAGCTACCACTTATACACAGAATAAAAAAGCAGCTTGGAAAAAAAAGATTTTTTTTATCTCTTTTTGCACCGGCTACAAAGAAGGAAAAAGAGAGAGAGAGAAATAGAGAGAGTTATGAAGGACTGTGACTGGCTGAAGTTCTACAGTGCCACAGTTTTTCCAACACATATACAATAAATAACCATTGATGACACCAAAGGACAGAAGTCTTTAACATCCTGACATCTATAGAAAAAGAACATGAAGAAAGATGGAAATGTCTCTCAAGGTTGAGACAGATGTGGGGAGGGAGGCGCAGGCGGCTGCGTGGTCACGCTCGAAAATGTTTTGTCGCTGCAGACCCCGCCGTGCTGCCATCCAGGTGACAGTCTGACCGGTGGCATGATGTCTCTCTTCACTTATGGTTGGACGGCGCCCGCGTCCTTCCAAGCATGCACGTGTGAAATGCAGTCAGTACATCCTCCACATGTGCAGTGGGCAAAGTTTTGTATCCTTTTACATCCTTCAGGGAGACGGATTTGTATTTCCCAGCCCGCTGACCTGGATATTATTACAAGTGAGAGGGTAATAACATTGGTTGAACAGCTGGCTCTCCTTGCAATCTGCTGCACATCTGCCCATTTCATGGCAGTCTGTGGATCAGAGACTCGGTCCGTTCCTCTGCCTTCTCCAAGCAGCCGACGTGTTTATGTTTCCATCCATCAGTGTTTCTAAATCTGGTTTTCTTTTCTCTCAGAAAGAAAAAAACGATCGGCCAGCAAGAAGAGTCTGCTGGTTTGTTGTTTGGTAAAATGCCGTCTTGAGGTTGACAAGTCTCATGTCCCAGGTACGTAAAGTAAATAAGTGTTAATTCAAGGATGAAATGAAAACCAAGCGGAAGGTCAGATATACTTGTCTCGGGTTCACGATGATCTCTGCTCAGTCTCGTATTTACAGGAGAAATTAACATCAGCTACAATGACGGCAACAGTAACAACGACAGGCACGATGACAAACGGACGACAACAATAGCAAGTTTAACCACAAAATGATTTCAATATTTAAATTCATTCATTCCGAACAAAGAATATCTTTGTGTTTCTTTAAAGTCATGATAAGTCAATATGACCTGATTATGGACCTCCTCCTATGACTACGCCGCAAGATAGCTTCTGTTATCCACGTTAGCTTAGCATTTCTGCAAGGCATTCTTATCAGTCATGCTGTTTGTGGAGTCGAGGCGTTCAATGTCCCCCCCACACCCTTCCCTGCTTGAGTCAATTAACGTGGGGTGCCATCCAGAGCGGAGGAGGAAGGGGTGCTCGGAGTGGATGAGCGAGGGGTAGCGGCAGGCGGGGTAGCAGCCGGACTTCCAGTCCCGCTGCTGGGGGTGCAGGCTGATGAGCTGATGGGGGCGGGGGTCTCTGACCCGGGGATACCCCCCTGCTGCTGACCAGCCTGCTGCTGCTGCTGAGCCTGGAGCGTCTGACCGCAGACGTGGTGGTGCTTCTCCCAGTCTTTGTGCTGGCAGAAGGAGCCACAGTAGCGTGCTGTGTTGCATCCACTGCACGTCTCACTGGCTTTGCGGCCACAGTTCCAGCAGCTCTGACAAGTGGACAAAGGCAACGTTAACTAACACCAAATGACTCAGCAGTAGTTCAGACATGGACCAAACATAACGGTCCTAATGGAAGTACTGTAAACATCTAGCTGCCAGGTCTCAGGTGTAGACAGACAGTAGTTTGTGTCTGTGGTGAAATGACCTGATACATTCAGCACTGCTTCATAAGTGCTACTAATTCAAGGTCCTTTTTTTCCCCTAATGTCTTCTTCTTTTCCTTTCGGCTTTGTCCCTTTTTTGTTTTTCAGGGTTTGCCACAGCGAATCAACATTTTCCATAGCTCCCTGTTCTCTGCATCTTCTTCTCTGACTCCAGCTATCTGCATGTCCTCCCTCACTGCATCCATATATCTCCTCTTTGGCCTTCCTCTTTGTCTCCTACCTGGTAGCTCCAACTCTCTAACATTCTTCTACCAATGTATCCAATGTCCCTCCTCTGCACATGTCCAAACCATCTCAGTCTGGCTTCTCTGGCTTTTTCACCAAACCTTCCTGTCTTTGTTGTTCCTCTGATGATCTCATTCCTGATCCTGTCCATTCTTGTCACTCCTAAAGAGAATCTTAGCATCTTTAACTCCAGCCACCTCCAGCTCCTCCTCCTGTCTTTTGAGTATTGCTAGTTTTCTTTTTCGTAATGTCAATTTCATAAATTGACAGAAATCTCAAGCATCAAATTGGGTTGATCTGGCCCCGTTACTAGTGTCAGGGTTTCTTCAACAGAACACATTGCTTATACTAATGTAAAATAGATGTCTGGTGACATCAGTGGAAACCTGAGGTTGTCCACATGTTCCAATTATTCCATGGTTGCAGACGTAACACCAGAATACTGGTTAAATACTTATCTTCATAGTGGACTGGGTTTTACGACCAGGTGGTTATGTCTGTTTTATGGTTCCAGAGTTCTGACAATCAGCTTACGTTTGTCATTAGAGCACTGTATTATTTTATGCTGCTGTTCACACTTGAAGAACCTCGTTTTTGATGAAAGACAGCAGACGGAACATGACACCAAAACAAGTAACAGCCCTCGTCAGTTCGGGCTGCACATTAACAGAACCGGACTCTTGCTTTTAAAACACTTAAGGTTTAAAGGAAACCACAGACGGATCGAAAGCCCATCTCTCCTTACACTTAGTGCCTCTTCTATATCTTAGAAACCGCAGCGAGGCGATGGAAGCGTATCCAAAGGAAACACGAGGACAAGGTTACAAACAGCTTTTTAAAAGTTCTCCTCGGGGGCGCTTCTCTCTCATAAACATCATTCCAGCAATTAATGTCAGATGTAAGCCACTTTTTCCTCTCACTTAACTGATTAAACGTCAAGGTCTTTCAGATGGTGTTTAGTAAATGAAAGTGTCTCCCTCTTTTTCCCTTTTCCAACTCATTGATGACCCCGTCGCTACATGCTACCTGCTTGGCCTGGTGATTAACAAAAGGAGGAGGAGAGCAAGTGGAACAGATGTTTGAATGACCTTGTTCTGCCTCAGCAAGTAGCCTCTGATTTAAGCAACACTTTTAAGGCTGAGGATTATAAGAAAGCTCTTTAAAAATTTAAATATATGTTCAAATATTTTCTGAATAAAGGGAATTATTTAGAAAGGATAATGGACACCAGGTTGATTTTTTTAAAATTACTTTGAACTTTTTAAAGTCTCTAATGTGTGCTCACCTCGCTGGAGTCCTCCTGTTGGTTAATTAGAGACAGGGCGTCCTCGGCCGCCTGCCGCTTGGCCTCAGCTACCGTTCGCTCCATCTTGGCTCGTTCACTGCTAATCATCTCGTGAGCCTTGCGTTCGGCTTCTGACACGGCCTTCTGCAGCTCTGACATGGCCTGACGCTTGACCTCATTCACCGCCTCTTCTGGAAAGAGGGTGGACACAGAGGAAGTCAAGCCTCCCGTACCTGCAATGTAGTTTGCATCAAATCACCCTGTCGTTGTAGAGTTTTCACATACAAACATCAATTTCACAACATAGACTTTCAAAAAGCTAAACAGACTGTAAAACTTAATTGTATTGTCAAATTTAAAAGTTGACAGAAGAAAGCTTAACCATTATTATGAAATGTTTTTCACACACAATACAAAGTCTAATGTAATCTGAAAATTCTATTTCTGTTTTTTTTTCATGTGAAACCATCACAGCTGCTTTACTTTTACTGAGTTTCAGGTTTCATCTGAATTGGTTGGATTTTTAAATTATTGATATTACAGCATCTCAAGTAAATGTATTTAAAATTAATTAAATTTATGAAGTTATTTAAAAAATTCAAGCATTCAGTTTGAACACAAGCAAATGAAAAATAGCTTTAAATATTTAAAATCCCTCAGAAACAACAGCCTGAACCAATTAATCCCAGGTAATCGCTCAGAAAATGCTCACATGCTGCAGCAGAGCACTTGTTTTGTTGAATGAATAACCTTGCCGCTCGGGTGTTAAGTGGTGGAATTCCAGCTGAACGTCAAAGCAAAGGCAGGGTTTTTTTGTTTGCTCCCATCAAGCCTGTAACTTGACTAATTGTGTATGCAAATCAGGCAATTTATATTTAAATTATGCATTTCCATTGTGATCCCAGAGGCCCATGTGGTGAGGGGAAGTGGGAAACCGGTAGGACACTGCACAAGGTGCTTGAATATTTATCACCAACTGTAAACATTTTGCCCATTTAAAACAGATGTATTCACCACCACACTCCATTGTGTTAAAAATCTGTTTTGCAATCCTCCCTGGGTCAAATTTAAATCAGTCTAAATACGGGAGAAGAAGTAAAAGGGACGGCGTTAATACAGAGAAGAGTGTGTGCAGAATTTGTTCATCATATTCACAGATAAAAGCTCTTTTTCTGCCACATGACAAATGCGCGTCACCTCTTTGTACAAAAGACTCTCCTCGTACAAATTTAAATTTTGTTTCCAAGATCTTCCTAAAGATGGTTGCCGTTTCTTTTCATCGTTACTGAGCTACATTTTCAAACCAGGGTGGTTTTGTCTTTAACCGACTCTGCTGCTTGAAGTCATGGAAATTACCCCAGTGCCGTGTGATGTATGCCTTGTGCATGGAATTGTGATTACACACCAAATGCCTTAGATGGAAGATCGATCAAAGCTGGTGAGAGCAGGCAGAGTAGCGGAGAGCAGGCAGAGTCCCAGTGGTGATACTCTATTCAATTTAAATGCATATTACTTGTTGGGAGTATCTCACACATCATGCTTGGTCAGAGAGGGGGACAAATTCTTGTCTCCTAGGGGTTTAAAAAGCAGATATATCACTTCATCACTGATGCTGAATTCAAAGTGGATCCCTCAAGCATCCAACCGTCGGCAGAAAATTATTTCACTTTTTCAGCGTGGTGATAATAGTGACTGCAGCTGTGCACGCCACTTTAAAGAATGCTGCTTGTGTACACTTTAAAATTTAATGGCAACTAATGAAAGCTGTTGAAGAAACAAATTAGTCTCGATACTTAATCTTAACAGGCCTCCACAAATTTGTCTTGACAACTTTACATCACTTTTCTTTCCTAAATTGAAAGTGGCAATGTTTATTGCTGGGTTTTCAGAAAGGCAGGAAGTAAAAGGACACCAACTCTTACTCCTGTGCTCTTTAACAGTGGAACCATGGGAGCAGCTGTAATAGGTTCTTACAGTATGGCCCTCATCTGACTGGTGCAGTAAAATCATTTTATGACCTGACATTATATTTGGATTGTGGTGGTGAAAAAAAATGTGTTTTTTGCTTTTTTCCCCCCCTACAATATTTAATATGAAAAAATTATTAAGTTCAGAAAGAATGGAGGCTGCAGACAGCAGACTGTATGGAAGGGAGATGGGACAATAGGAGCGCCTCAGTGTCCTCAGTGAATGTGGTGAAAAGACAACCTTGTTTTATACAAAGAAAAAAAAGACGCAGAAGATGGTAGAGGACAGTAGACGTTTGCAGGTTTATAAGTGCAGCTCACCAGCTTTCTTCCAGATCTCCTCAGGGACGTATCCAGACACAGGCCGGTGCATCAGCTCCCTGTGAATTTCTGTAAAGACAAAAATCACATAAGAAGTCAATGCACAACGTTTAAACTCGTTTATAATTTTTTTTTTACATAGCACAATGTTTGAGTCAAACCATTTTACATTTTAATCTTCACCTATTGCCTTTTGAGTTTCACTTTTCTGTAAAAAAAAAAAATTAAATGTGTTGTAAATATAAGGTTATAAATGTATTTATGTAAAGATAATGTATTCTGCTGGTCAGTGAAAAACAGATATGAGTGTGTTAAGAGTTTGTAAAACCATATGCAAAAAAGGCGATCCAATTAATGATCCATGAGGAACACCCAGGGGGAAAACATTATGAAACAAATTATGTATATATAATTATTGACTCAAAAAAGTAATTTAGATGTCATGCATTTTTAATTAAATTTAGGTTAATAAAAACATTGATTCATATTTTAAATTAGTAATGTGTGTTTTCCATGCAGAAGTCGTTATTAGTAGGTCAATAAAACTGTACATTTTAATAGTTACATCACGTTGTGCCCACCTGGTGCTGCAGTTTCCTGTGCTGCCGGGCTCTGCTGCCTCGACTGTGTGCTGGTAGAGCCCTTCTTCAGCTCCTCAGCGTCACTGTATCGTCGAATCCAATAATTGAGCTCCTCACGGTCCGCTTCCTGGCACCGCCGCAGGACTGTTAATGAGCGCCTTGTTTTCTCCACCATGTCCATGATACAGTTCAGCAACTAGGGAGGTGAGAAGGAACAGATATGATGCTGAGTTTAGACACAAAGACGGTTGTGGATTTATAATTTTCTTCAATTGTTGACATCTGATGCTGTCGCTACTGTCGTTACTGTATTCATTGTCCACGAAACACTATCCAGGTTTGACACACGACCTAGCTATAGTTATTACATTACAATGGAAATGTTAGAAAACAACAGGTCAAGAAGCATGGAATATATTCATCATGTAGATTGTTATTTACACATCTCACATCATTAACTGTAAACCCCTCAGAAAGTCACACATAATCACTTAAATGCCTGAATTACCAACAAACATACAAACACTGCAAGCAAACGTATCAAACATGTAGACATGCATAGAATTATAAAGAAGACTAGACACAGGTGATTACATGCAAAACAAAAACTGACAGTACACACTGATACTACAGATACGGTCCATTACAATGTAATAATGTTCATGACACGACTGACACGAGGACAGTTAGTTACTTACAGAGACAGAGGTGTAAAGTATAGTAATAAAAATGTTATTACTTTTCTTACATGGTCAAGGTGCTTCCACTCCTCAGCCCACTCTCTGTCCGTCAGTCGGTGGTCAATCACTTCCTCCTGCCTGGTCCCAGCATGCATACCTGTAAGACAGTAAAAAACAATAAGACAGAAAGACAGACAACTTAGAGAGGTAATCACAGGATTGACCAGAACAAATCATTATCACTCTCATACATTTATCATGGCTTCTTTTGCTCCTTTGTCATTTGAACAGCTTTTTCCTTTACTCCCAGCCCTGAAAGCAGGACTAAAATGTCTGTGCCATTTGTCCAATAAGCATATATCATAAGAAAAGACATGCTAAATGTCCCCTATTTTTAGAATGGAACCAAAGTCCTCATTATAGCTTCATCAAGGGTTGGTCTACCAAAAAATATGTCTCCAAAATGACTAGTTAATATAATGAGACACAGTGACACGTAAAGATTGCTAAGTTGACTGTTTTTGTTCCCATATAGACTCATGGTCAAAGTTTATAGAGACATTTTCCTGGGCTTGATGTGCAGATGTAAGGTGGCTAAGGCTAATGCTACAGAGCGTCAAATCACAACTAATTATGCTTTTTCAATCTTTAAAATTCCTTCCAAATTTTCCCACAGGATATACGGTACATGCATGTTCTCACCAATGCTCCTGGCTCTCTCCCGGATCTCCCTGTGGTTGGAGGTGGAGTGTCTGTAGGAGTCTCTGTAATGATGGGCGATGGCCATGTCGTCCAGCCTGTAGTGCTGGGGGGGGAGAGGGCCTGGATGGGGCAGGCCGTTGGGTTGGTAGGAAATCCCATTAGACGGGCTAAAGCGCTGGGCTGGGCTGATGGTGCAGGGCCGTTTGCTGGGGTGAACATCAGGGTGTAGGTTGCCTTCCCGCTCGAAGCCATTTTCTTTGGTTCTGTTGGGAGACAATGGCTATTTAGCAAGTCTTCTAAAAGACATTTCTTCCAGTTAAACAGTTTTATTAGGTTTTACTATAAGCTCAAGAGCCAAAATCCTTGGACACTGTTAAACCTCAACTGATGATCGTACTGACAAACCATAGGAGTCTGTACAAGGTCTTTGTTTCCTGGGTCTGAATATGGAGCAAAACCCATATAACTGTGACCATAATCCAGAAATAATGAAATATTTGTATTTGTATTCTGTCTGTGTGATGTTATCACCACATACTTTTCTTTTTTGTTCCAATATAATTCATTACACAAACACATCAAAAGTGTTGTGTCCATAGATATCAGTTCCAATGGCCCAGAGCCATGTTCTCAAGTGTCTGGGTTCTATTTATTAGAACAAACAAACCTTAGATTTGTTGGCTGCTTTCTGAAGACCGAGCTGTGGTTATGTTATTTTTCTGAAAGAACTGACAGTGAATAAAGGACACAGGAAAATGTTTTACCCAGTGAAACCAAATAAAGATTTTCTTTCTGCCTTAGTGGTTTTGAAAAAAAAACAAAAAAAAAAAAAACAGAAGCAGTAAATGAAATGGAACAAATGAGAACAGCACATCCACACTGTGGTCTCCGTGTCACACCTGTTCAGAAAAAATAACTGATGGAGGATTTGAGGCTAGTTTGTGTATCAAGCCTGTGTAAAATAATAACAACAAATGTTATGAATACATCTTCACCCAGACCATGGACATCTTTGCCGTTAAACCTTTTTTAAAAACACATTTCCCATTGAATACATTTCCATTCATGCAAAGACAATCGTGAAAATAAGCTTATGTTTGTCTCTACACACACACACACACACACACATAATCTTCCAAAAGATCAGGTGGATTTTTGTCAGCCTGTTTCCCAAGATTAATGTGGCCAGGTGTGTTTGTGTGAGCCCATACATGGATGTGTTTGTGTGTATGTGTGGGTGTGTGTGTTCATAGCTTTGTCAGTTCACAGTTAAACCTTGCCAACCTCCCCTGACTGTCTGCAGCTTCCTTCCTCTCTCCCTCTCTCCCCTCTTCTTCACCATCTCCCTCTCCGATGAACAGATTGAACTTCTTAATGAGCTGTTTTTATGGGCTCCTAATGCTCATCCACAGCTCTCCATATGCTCTTCCCCTCCATCCCTCCGTCTCTCCCTGCCTCCCTTGACTCATCCATCCATTCTTCTCCCCCCACCAGCCACACTCTTATCACCCCCAGCCTTGATGCCACAACGATGTACCTACATACCAGCACTGGAGTACACACACACACACACACACACATTCACGCTCACTCACACAGACAGTCACCTGAACAATGCAGCCATGTGTGCAGACATAATTTAGCTCCTGTACATGAACACATGCCCAATTTACCTGCACATGTTACAACAGACAGGGAGGTTCTATTAGGTTCAGTTTGGCTCAGAAAGGTAGAAGAGGTTGTTCATGAATGGAAAGGTTATTTTGATGATGATCTTGAATGAGACACAGAGTCCCAGATTGTCCTAAAGTGTGAATGGGGTCACGGTGATGCCCTACATATGGAAGAACAAAATGAATGAATGTCTTTCTAAGTCCAAGGTTGTGTTATTCCACACAGGTGACATTGTAATGACATAAAACAACCACAAGGCTAACTTCAGTATTAGTCATAACTGTCTTTAGTTCTTTAAATTAATAATATTGTGGGAATGAACATAAGACAGTATGAGTGTGAATATATGTGGAACAGGGATGGACTGGGGAACTGTCCACTGTCCCTCATATATGGACTGCTGGGATTTGCTCTACAACTGTGGAAGCAGAAGAAGATGAATGAATAAATGAATGAATGCATCTCTGCTTCTCAAAATGGTCACACTGACACTGTTGTGTGTCGTGGACCTTAACGCTTTACTTTTTATTTGACAACACAGGCACTTTCATTGGGTGGCTGTCTGTTACCCTCAGCTCTGCCTTCTCCCACTGTATTTTCTTGACTTTGACTTATTACATCTTCTTATTAAGCTCCTAAAATATTTTTGTTACTGGTTCTCATGCCATTGAGTAAGGTTTTAATTTTTATGATGTTTAAAAATTCTGAAAAAGTTTTAGAGATGTAAAACGGCAAATTATTGTCTGGTAAGATTCTTTGTTCTATACTCCTGGGTTTATTGTGTATATTGTATCATGTATCAATAAAATTAAAAAAAAAAAAAGCCTTTAAATTTTTACACCAGGTCAGCACTTCACAGTTTTTCTCCAGGCATTGTTTCTTGGCTTGTAAATCTGCAGTCTGTGATGCCGGACATTAATAAGCTGGATAACTCATCCAGCCTGAACGGCATCTCTACTAAAACAAGTTACTTTGTAGCATGTCAGAGATTTAATGAATTTGATGTAAAAAAAGACCAGATGTTGTAGGTGTGAGTCATTTGTGAACTACTTTTCAAATATTGGCTTTCCTTAAAGAAGTGACAAATATGTTTCTTCTAACATGCACAATGTTCTGTCACGTTTCTCATTTAGTTTTTGCATACTACAGTGTAACTCAATCGTGCACATGTTGTAATTAAGAATTCCTTTTCCAAAATTCAGGGCCGTGAAATGGGGCTCCAATATGTGGAAATACAGAGCAGAGGTAAGCAGAAAGCAGAGGTGCTTAGCCAGCCGTATTGGTGCTGGAGCCTCATCTGTATGTGTTATCATCCCATCTCCCTAGGCACACACTCACACTCACACATACACCCAAATACATACAAGACAGAGAATTCCTGCACACACACACATTCACACAAACAGACAACACTTTCTCACTGCATACAAATGCATCCTTACTTTCTTTCTCCCCCTCTCTCTTCTTCTCACATTTACACATTTCCCCTAAGCTCACTCCCTTATGCACCCGGCAGCCAACAAATATGCAGGTTTCTGAAGAAAAAAAAAACTCTGTCTATCTGACTATTGGGGAGAAAAAAGGAGAGGTGAGAATCATTAATATTGCATTCTGCATTTTTGTCCCTCAGCAAATATAAAATTACATTTTCCGCCTCACTGCCTATATTAAAAATTTGGGACCCCAGGTATTACTCTTTATTCCTAAAACACCGTGGACACATTGTTATTACAGCTCAGGCAAAAAGTGCAAACATGTGCACAAACTTTTGTGGAGTTTGAAAATGCTTATCCAAGTTTGAAGATATTTATATATATTATTGCCGTGCGTCTGTGAAAATCCACCATTCAATATTAATGGTTTATTAGCATAGCAGTTATATTTCAGACCGCTCCTTATAATTAAAGTTATCTTTGAGGCATTTCTACATCATAACATTTGCTCAGGTCTGGGAATAAGCCGAAGTCTTCACTGCTCTGCTCTAGAAAGCGTTTGTGCTTGTTTTGGTTTCTGCTGCTCCGGGGGAGAGGGCTGGAGAGAGCACTGCAAGTTTTTACACCGCTGTGTTTCTGGAAGGCACATCTCTGTGCACGTCCATGAAAACAGGGAACATTGAGTCATAACCAAAGTCCATGACAACAAATGATTGTAATGATTTGGCAGCAGGCTCTGCACTTGAAGCGTGGAAGTAAATGATAGCAGCATCACACACAGCTCAGGAAGTGTCCATACACATCCACACTTTCCATTAAGCCACAGCTGTATTCTATCTTCTCCGTGTCCTCAGGACGTTAGCGTGTGAGTGTGTGTGTGTGTGTGTGTGTTTGCATGTATCAAAGTCTATTCTTTCTCCATCTTCAGTTCTGGCCCATTACATGCAGAAGCTGGGACTTGAGACGTCCAACAGAGCACATCATGAAGCCAGAATGTATGCTGACAAACACTCTCTTGAATACATTCACTATTGTTCTACACTGAATAACCACGTGAGTTGAAGACTAGAATAAGAGTCAATGAACAATTTTATTTTTTAAACTGATCTTTGTCCTTAAACAACCCTTCTGACCCTCTACTCTGAGGAAAACCTGATGTTTTCCAGGTGACCATCACCCACCTGTCAGGTGTCCTCCTTTTGCCGTTCTCATTGACGTCCAGCAGGAGTTCAGAGGAGTCCACTGGGGAGGTGGTACTGGTGTCCAGCAGCAGCTGCTCGTGCTGGGCCAGGTACTGAGCTGGGTTCTGCTTGGCCAGTCTGGCACAGTGCAGCAGCTCCCTCTGAAGCAGTGGCAGGTTGGCCTAGAAAACAAACAGCACAGATGGTAAACAGGAAGTTTCTATTGTATTCTACTGCATGGTGAAGCTTCAGACAACTGCTGTTACTTGTTGCTGCAGTTCATATACATTTAGCTTGAGGTGTATGGTCTCAAGTTCACAACTCATTTTAGTGCTCCCTGTTTGTTCATGCTGTTTAACCAGTTCATTATATTTACAAGGGAACACACAGGCACACTCACAGAGGGTGAAAAAGGTTACATTAAGTTATGATGTTTTGTAGTAAGACTTGGAGTCATTTAACTCTACCACCACCAAGCCATTTCTTATAAACACTAAGAAAAACACACACAAAAAAGCTTTGCTTCAAAATTAGTTTCAAAGATAAGTATACATCAAACAAACTGATGCCTCAGAAAGCTCTGACATTCTCTCAGAAATGCCACAAATACCTAAATGCACCAAATAACATATAAAGTAGCAGCAGATAAATGGATTTTTACAGTCGAGTTCCTCCGAAAACCACAACCTGAGGTCACACCGTGACCATTTCCGCCATTATATCTCTGCCTGTTTGCTCATTACCACTGAACCAAGGCCACTTCCTGTGATCCAGAGTGCATTAACACCGTCTTTATGGCCACCTACACTCGTTATCCTTAAAGGAACAGAGAGACATTTTTTTTTCTCAGTTACTCAGACATCACAACGCGGCTGCTTTCTTGTGTGCAGTTTAAGGGTCGTGCAGGTAGGTGATCACTAACTTCAAAGACATCTGATGGGCTGCGTTTACAAGCAAGAAGATGAAAGTGTTGCATCAGGCGGCATCAGAATTAGAGCGGTGGGCTACTTCAGTGAGGGGGTCTTTAAAGGTGCCATGTAGTGCATTTGAGGTGATTTGTTTTGTCCTGAGTACTGCAAAAACATCCCTAAAATATAACCTTTTAAACATCACCACATGTTTAGACTCTGTTGATGTTGGTGTTCTTTTGTTCACCTAATGTTCTTTGTTTTTGTGCACTTTGTTGTATTTATATCTATTTTCAAGGCCTTTTGGATATTTTTGATTTCATTTATGATGTTTATCCACTTCTAGGTTGATTTTCCTTATCGTTAAAAATTGTCAGAGAGAGAATTCCAACATACCTTTACTGATTATCTGCACTTACAATCAATCTACAAATAGATTAGATTATATTAGATTAGATCAGATTAGATTAGACTGAATTTTATTGATACCCCACTGGAGAAATTATTGTGAGTGCACATATTTCACTAGGTCTAATAAAAAACAGGGAAGTATCAAAACACAGAAATTGTGCACAGCTGCTGCAACGAGGGACCACTCGAATGGTGCCATTTTGTACCAAATGGCGATGGAGTCTGAAGTCTAGAGTGTATTATTTTAAAATAAATTTAAAAAGTTAAATCAGAAACATATAGGTAAGGTAAAAACACAAAAAGTGATTTTAGTGTTTTGTTTTTATTTACTTAAGGACGTAGAAACAGGTTAAGGTTAAGGTATAATAGAAGCGTCCACACAGACCATAAGTCTGATGGACTTCAACTCAAATGGGATTTCAATTCCCTGTCTGGTGCTAACACAACAAAACCAAGTATTTTTTGTGGTAATGTTTGTTTTTCTTAATTTCATGAAAGTCCGTTTGCAGTAATTGGCAGTAGGATAAATGACCAACACCGGCCTTCACTTTACCTGCTTGAGTTAATGGTCCATTAATAGTTTATGATCGTAATTTCCCTTGGAAAAAAAGA